ATATTGATCGTTGGAGTTTTTTTCCCTACTTGCTGTGTGGACAAATCTCTTTGAACTTCAGTATATATGAACTTCATAAGAATACCTACCCCTAAAGACTCTAGAGAAGATAATACAAGATAGAATGTATAAAACACCAGCACAGGATAGGGTCTCAGAAAATAAACTCCCTTCTTACTTGCCTGTGGGTGGCCAACCCCCACCCCACCGCAATGCCAAGCCAGCTCCTGGACACTCCATGGTCACTGCCTACCAGCTGAAGCAAGGGGTTAGTTAACTTCAACTTTCTCTGAGTCTCTGCATAAACACACACACACACACACACACACACACACACACACACACACACACAAAACAATGTTTGCCCTGGCCTTGGCCCTGGGCAAGTAGCTTAGCCGGTTAGAGGGTCATCCCAATATGCCAAGGTTCTGGGTTCGATCCTGATCAGGGCACATACAAGAATCAACCAATAAATTCATAAGTAAGTGGAATAACATCTGTTTTGATGTTTCTCTCACTCTAAAAATCAATTTTTAAAAAGATTAAAAAAAAAAAAAAAGCACGGGCACAAAAGAGGACACTCTTTGAGACAGGCAGACCTGGTTACAAACCTTAGATCTGCCACTTACTAGCTCTGAGACCATGGTCAAGCACATTAACCTCTTGGAAACTCAGTCTCCTTGTCCATAAAATGGGTCAATGAAATAAGATAATGTGAGAGAAGGCAAATAGAACTTGGCAAACAGTTAAGAGTCGCTAAAGTATAACGATGATGATGGCACCAAGTACTTCTGAACTGTAGACATCTTGGAGGCCCCTGAAATCCCCACCCCTATAAGGACTCATGCCTGAGCTCCAGATGCTCCCCACACTCTCCTCAGTATTGCCCAGATTCCTGAAAACTCGGGAGGAACCATTAAGCTCACCTGGCACCACCTATCCCACTCACCAGAGGACTACTTTACATCATAACATCAAAATGACAGTTCCCTTGTCCCTTTTGACCCTCCCAGCTGTGAGAAAGATGGCTATTATTCCTCTCCCCCCATTTTACAGAGAGGACAACTGAGGAACAGTGAGGGAAGGCAATCCATGCAAGGATTTGAGCCTGGCCTGGCTTCTGAATTCCCTTTGCTTTCCTGTGTAGCACTACTCTCAAGCGGTGCTTTGAGGTGTAGCATTGCTGGGGTGAGAAGGTATGGATATGTTCTATGTTTACAGCCAGGAAGTTTCCAGCAAACCTTTACAGGCACTTTGTGAGCAAACAGGTACATGTTGGGAAATGCAGAGTCTGGGGATGTTGAGACCACAGCAGACCACTCTACTGAGAGTTAGAGGGCAGAGGGGACAGGGAGCCAGATGAGGAGGAGGTCTGGGCTTGGCCACAGGTGGGCAGCTGACATCCCAAGTAACCTTGGGCAAGTTTCTGATGTTTCCTTGATCCTCACTTTCAACATAAATGGGGGGGGGGGGGGGGGAGAAAGATAGGTAGCTAGATAGAAGCTCAGTTTAGGTAAAAAGACATCTGCAACTCTCATCATCATTACTTTGGCTTTGAAATCACCAGCTCAGAGACCCCCCACCACTTTAAAAAATTTAAAAGACAAAACAGTATAACTTAATAGTTCTGCCAACGCTTCAAAAAAAAAAAAAAAAAAATCAGAGCACAACACTGATTTTTTTTTTTCCCCTCTCTCCTTTTAAATTTTGGCAAAGGAAGATTCGGTTCCTGGAAATGCTTACAAAATAATTCCTGACACTGGGAGGAGATAGTTAAAAAAGGAAGAAGATGATGACTATGAAAAACTATATACATATATAGGTAATGAAAGACGGTGGAAAGAAAGAGAATAAACAAAGAAAGAAAAGAAAGGGGGGGGGGACTTTAAAAGACACCAATTCAAGGAACGTTATCAAGTTCTCAGCATCTGCGATTCACAAGCCGCTCCCCGACCGGCGGCGCAGACTCCGCCCCTTTCTCGGGTGTCGGACGCTGATTGGTGGGGGAGGCCGTCGCCGGCCGGTGACTGCCCGAGGAAAGGTTGCCTGGGACACGCATCCCTGTGTGAACGCATGACGTCCCACCCTGGCGCCAGGCTGTCTGGGGCTGAGTCTTAGATCAACACAGCTGTGGGTCCCGGTCCCACAGCTGGGCAAAGGAGCGGATTCCTCAACAAAAAATAGGATTGTGAGAAAAGTTCTGAAACAAAAACAGTGCAGACAAAAGCCTTAATGACATCCTTTCATAAAAATAAAAAATGCAAGAGGGGGGAAAAAGCTGGTAAAAGAAGCAGAACTGGGAACAGAAAGTTCAGAGACATTTGGAATAAGAGGCTGAGGCCCCGCCACCGCTAAACAAGTTGCAGAAGGCCTGAGCTGGCCCTCCAGTCTGCTGTTGGGAACAAGAAGTCTTTGGGGTTCAAACTGCATTCAGTGTTCCAACCTTAACCTGCTCGTTCAGAATTAGAATGTTAGATTGAAAGGACCCTGAGAGGTCATTTGTGCCCCCCACCCCCAATTTTACAAAAAGTGAGGCCCAGGAAGGAAGGAAATTCTCTAGGGCCACACTGCAAGCAATTGGCATGGCCAGGGCAGAATTCAGCTTGCTTACCCCACTGTGTCCCTCTCTTGCCTTATGTCACACAGCCCAAAGGCATTTCAGTCTGAAAGCATCTTGGGAAATAATAAATGTGAAGGTGTTTTGCAAATGGCTTTACAAGCCCGAGGAGAACCTGTGAGGACCTGTGGACCGCGCACCTACCACACACCTGGCCCATACTGAGTCCCCAGGCACCAAGGAGACTAGCAGATCTGATGGAGAGAGCATGCCAAGCGCCTTTCCGAGAAGAGGCATTCAGCAATTATTTGTTGAAAGGAATGAGGTTGGTCTAATTAGGTCAATTTTGTAAATTAGAAATTGAGGCACAGAGAAGTGACCTACCCAAAGTTCACATCATTAGTAAAAGCGAATGGGGATTTGAACATAAATCTGCCTGCCCCTGAAGACCATGATTTTTCCAGAACCTCCTGGGCTTTGCCATTTTGCCCAAACCACGGCAATCTGCATGATAGAAAAGAAAGGGGTTTTCTATTTGGTCATTCAGGAATTTCCATAGCCACCACTTTCCCTTCCTATGACCAATTAGCTGACATGGTCTTCACTTCATATCTGTAAGTATATATAGACTGATTTGTCCATTCACTGGTTATTTTCTTCCTTTTTCTTATATTAAAAAGGCTAACCTTGAAAATATTCATATCTTTCAAAGATCTTTCTTGGGGTACAAGCCCTGTGGTATGACAGCAAAGAACAAGACTTCAGGTCTGGCTCTGCCATTATTTGTGGTGTGACATTGGACATGCTTTATAGCCCTTTTCTGTACCCTTTATCACTCCACACCTGCCCGTCCCAAATCATAAAGCCTTAGACTTCTAGAGTTGGAAAGAATTTAAAGTAAACAGCACCATCTCCTCCTTTTATTCATAAGGCAAGTGAGGCTAGAGTAGCTGGACTTGTTCAAGATCACATGACAAATTTTTGGCAGGGCTGGGATATTGAACCTAAGGCTCCTGATTTCCAGTCCCCTGTCCTTTTTTACTATGACTCTTTTGAGACTCTCCTAGCTCTGAGCTTTCATTGTCCTGTTAATCAGTGCCACATACTATAGAACTCTCAATTGCTTCCTGTGTTAATCTTGTCTCCCCAAATTGTGACATTCTTGAGAGCAGGAGCCACTGCTTCCAACTGATTGATTGAGGAAGCAACCATTGGGGGATCCCACTTGGTCAGTGTCAAGATGGAAACCAGCATTTTAAGGCTGCAAATTCCCAAAAGTTTTGGGAAATGATAAGACGACGAGCAAAGAATACTGAATGGAATGTCCTGCTGCAATACAGAGCTTAACTTGCCTGTCCTCTGGTTCCTTTCCTGGGCTCTCAGATAGAGCTGGAGCTATTTTAGCAAGGCCTAGAATAATCAAGTCCAGGTGGCTTGCCTTTCCATAGCAGAGAGGGATAGACAATAGAGCTTATGGTATCACCAAACTATTGTTTTCTGCATTGCATAGAGGTGTTTAGAGAGTGGGGAGAAAGGAGGAAGCAAGAGTTAAGAGATTTGCTGACTCCATGGGGGGCTCCTAAAAGGTTATATAGAAATCACCCCTTCTGGCACACACACACACACACACACACACACACACCCCATTTAAAACCCTGTCCAAAATTCTAATCAAACTCACTTCCAGCACATAACTGGGCATATATTTGGCTCCTTATGGAGTGCAGGGGGCCAGAAGGTGGGAGCTCTTTTCCTTCCCCAGGCAAAAAACATGGATTCAGTCTCCCCCGCCCCCCTCCCCTGTTGCTCAAATAGTGTTTTTTGCTCAAACCCCTTCTCCCTCCTCCTTCTGTAATCTCAGCGCCTAGCCCAAATCTGTTTTCTTCATTGTAACCTCAGCTTCACCGCAATTAATTTTTTTCCCCTCTGGTCACAAGATAATTCCTGACGCCAGTGAGTCTGGAGGTCAGACAACAGCAAATTGGGGAACAAGGCGGCACTAATTCCTTACAAGTTTCCCTTGAAAAATCTTTTGCTTTAAAAAAAAGAAAGAAAGAAAAGCTTCTTTGCTGTTCAGGGATTTATGACCTCGGAGGAACTGTGGGTTCGAAGTAGTGTTGGGGCTGTGGGTGGACTGGCAGGGGGCAGGGGAGCTCAAAGAATCTGGGGCGCTGCCAGGAAAAGGCAAATTCTTAAAGTTAATGGTTTTAAGTGATTTTTGAAATCCTTGCTGGCAAAGAGGCCCGCCTCTCCCCAGTATCAGCGCTTCCTCATTCTTTGAATCCACGACTCCGCGGTATTCGGCGTCAGACCAGCCGAAGAAAGCCTGTTTGCAATTTAACCGCGCTGTGAACGCCCAGGGTCGGCGCAGGCGGGGCCTCGGCGGGCTGTTTTGCATAAAGGGGCGTGTCTTCTAGCCAGGCTCTATAAGTACCGGCCTCGGCGAGCGTGCACACATAGCAAGCTGCTGTAGGAATTTCTTTAGCTTTCTAGACCTTGGGCACTTCCCACCTCATTCCTCAACATGAAGGCGTTAAGCCCGGTGCGCGGCTGCTACGAGGCGGTGTGCTGCCTGTCGGAACGCAGCCTAGCCATCGCGCGCGGCCGCGGCAAGGGCCCGGCAGCCGAGGAGCCGCTGAGTCTGCTGGACGACATGAACCACTGCTACTCGCGCCTGCGGGAACTGGTACCCGGAGTCCCGCGAGGCACTCAGCTTAGCCAGGTGGAAATCCTGCAGCGTGTCATCGACTACATCCTCGACCTGCAGGTGGTCCTGGCCGAGCCCGCCCCTGGACCCCCGGACGGCCCGCATCTTTCCATCCAGGTACGCGTGGGCGTGCGCGGGGAGCCAGGGATAGGGCTGAGCGCCAGGGCTGGGATGCTGCTGCACCCCTCGAACTCCCAAGTGCCATGCTTAACTCTTCTTACCTCTTTTTCTTTTCTCTCAGACAGCGGACCTCTCTCCGGAACTTGTGATCTCCAACGACAAGAGGAGCTTTTGCCACTGACCTGGCCGTCTTGGCGCCTCCAGGTGAGTATCCCCACCTTCTCGGGGGTTGTGGGGATGGGGACGCGGTGGTGATTGAACAGTAAATCTTGGAACTGGAAGGCCTTTTAAGGGATTATATACCCCCTCGGTTTAGAGAAATCAAGGCCAGAGAGGGGCAAGTAACTTGATCATGGTCACATCAAATGAACGACGGAACCAATTTTCATCCATGTGCGCGTTTCAACGTTAAACGCACGTTGCTATTGCCCTCCCCCAGTGGCCAGAGATCCAAGAAAGGACGCGCAGGTCCGACTAAATAAAATAGCCATTCAGTTAGTAGTTTGGAGTCGTAAACGGAGCCCTCCCAACTGGTGTCAATTCCAAGAGGGGAGGGGTGGTGCAAGCTCCGCCTGTGGTCCTTTGGCGCCAACTGGGTGGGGGTAGCGTGGGGCGCGGAGTTATCAGCTGGAGGTAGAGACCAAGTTTCCTCCCTGGCGCCGGCCAGTCTGCGGACGGCCCCCGCCTCGGCGCGCTCGGCGGAAACTGACGGCTCTCCGGTCTTTTTTTCCTCCCCCACCCAGAACGCAGGTGCTGGCGCCCGTTCCGCCTGGGACCCCAGGACTCTGGCCGGAAGCCCAAGGGCATGGATGGACCCCAGCCTCTCCCTGCCCACTTCACTTCCCAAACCCCTGCCTCGAGGCTGGACCTGGTGCCCGGGAGCGAAGGACTGTGAACTTAGGTGGCCTGAAGAGCCAGAGCAGCTCTGGGCACCGACTGGGCAACGTCACCCAGCCCCACCCCACCCCCAAGTTCTAAAGACTGTCAAAGAGTGTGGAGGGGTGTGTGGTGGGGGGGACAGTGGCTGCTCCAAACTCTGCCAAGGCCAGCAGTAGAGCTGGCCTTCTGGTCTCGGAAAAAGGCTGTTGCCCCGATTATGAACTCTATAATAGAGTATATAGCTTTTGTACCTTTTTTGCAGGAAGGTGACTTTCTGTAACCATGCGATGTATGTTATTAAACTTTTTATAAAAGTTAACATTTTGCATAATAAACGGTTTTTAAACACTTGTGTGTATCATTTGATTCCATCAGTGCGAACACTTTCACAAGGCTGAATTTAGGGGAAATAAATGTTCTTGGAGTCTGGGGAAAGCAAACATTTATTCTCTATTAAAGGAGATGGGAAAATGCCCAGCTAACAGTGGGGTGGAGGGAGGGGAGGTAGAGAGGGCTCAGGGCGGGAGCCCCTACATTCACTGAGGGTTGGCGCAGAGGATATCCTGGGCCTCTGGCTAAGGCCAAAGAGGGGCTCTGACCCAGCATTAGCTCACCCAGCAAGTTGGGCACTCAGGATAGAAATCAGGTCTGCGGTCCCAGTTCTTAAGTCCCTTGGGGCTTTTGTGCTATGCTAGCAGATGCCTGTCGCCTTCAATCCATTACTTATTCATGCCTTTCTAGCAGGGGATGTGGAAGAGGAGAGCCTCACCTGGTGCCCAAACAGGTGGTGGTTCATAGACCCACTTCAGAAATGAACAAACGGGTCACTGGGTCTGGTTTCACTTCCCTCCGCATGCGCTCTGGTTTGGCTTCCCCTTGGGCTTCCAAAATTGGGAAACATGGGAGGGGTGTCTCCCCTCAAATCCCCCAACATATCCCGATCAGGATTTTTGGTGCTGATTGGGAAATACTGGCACCAATCTCTCCTCTGCCATCAGGTAGTTGGAGACTTTGACCCTGAACTGGGAATTGGATAAAGAGGCCCTCCAGCCCCATCCCTTCTGGCATTTCCTTCCCAAACACCTGCATTGGGAGCCTTCTCGGTGAGCAAGCATCTTCATTCCTATTTCAGAAATGGAGAAACTGAGGTTCAATGGATAATGGGTCAGAGCCAGATTATCACACACAGCCCCTTGAGAGGCAGAGATGGAATTTTAATCTTAACTACAGTGACTAACATTGTGACAGGAGCAGGGCCTGAGACTGGATATTACATGGGGCCAGGCCCCCAACCCATGCCCCTTTGCTCCCTACCTGGCAGCTCCCCAGGTGGGTTCCACCGGCATCTGGCCTAACTAGATTCCCGTTTATGATATGATCTCATCTGTGTGTTGGCTCCTGGCATGAATTAGTTCAATATTTCATAACAAACAGCTCACGTCATCACTACCCTTAACGCCTTAACCCTGGTGAGCTTTCAGGGGTGAACAGGGGCATGTGGGGGGGAGGCAACCAACCTGTCTTTGCCAGCTATCCTCCCAGCCACCCGGTGGTTCTCAACCTGTTTTCTGGTCTCCTCTGATGATCTGATGGAAGGTATGAACACTCTCTTCAGAACATAAACACACACAACTTTGCAGAGCAATAGCCGATCTCCAATCCCCTGGGAAGCCCTCAGTCTTTCATATGAGGAACTCTTACCTCAAGACAAGAGGTACAAGACCCAGGTTGGGTCTACCTTGGACCATTAGTTGGGTGTGCTGTACTGGCTCTGGAGACAGCCACACCAGGGTGCAAATATTTGCTCTGCCACATACTGGCTGTATACCTGAGCCTCAGTTTTCACATCTGTATAAACTTGCTGATCTTGAGGATACGATTCTGAGGCACCTGGCCCCACATTACACCATTAATTGCAGTAGAGCCAGGCACTGAACTCAGCATCCTGTACCTTTTTTGCCACAGTATGCTGCTTCCTGCTTACTCAGAAGTTTGGGGCTGTGGAATGCTAGAAGAGCAAGCCACTTCACCTCTCCAAGCCTCTCTGCTCCCTTGCCCAGCAGCTGGTAGTTCTTGTAATGCTGCCTCCCTGGACAGAAGATAATGGTGGGAAAGTTCTTTGAAATGCATCACACACCTACAAGGTATTATTAAGCTAATTCCAAGGAAATTGCCTGTTAGGTCTGCTGAGACTGAGCTGTTCAGGTGGCTGAGACAAAAGCTGAAACCAGTACACCAATTCATTAGTCCTTAGAGAGTGAAAGCAATTTAGCCCTAAGGTCAGAAAACTCTCAGAAAAGAGCATAATGTCTTCTGTCATAATCACCTATCCAGTGCCTACCAAGTGCCAGACTCTATTTTATCTTAATTTTTTTCTAATCCTTATCAAAATCCATAAAAGTCTCATTATTTCCACTCTACAGAGAAAACGGACCCACAGAGGCTGAATAACTCGATCCAGGTCACACAGCAAGGATTTGTAAACCCATCTCCATCTAGCTTCAAAGCCATGTTCTCGCCTCTGCTCCAGGCCGGCTCTTTCCCCTCACCATCCCCTGGGCCTGGCACAGACTAGGTCTCCAGCGGGTGCTGGCTGAACAAAAGACCTAAGACCACCCTCTGTCTCCTTTTCATTTGCAAAAGGATGATGATACCGCCCTTGCAGGTTTTGGTTCATGTCAAAGATAACACGCCTAAAGCATCCACCAGGCTCTCTGAAATACAAAGTTCGCTCTTAATTGCGTGTCTCAACGTGCATTATCGCATCAGCTCTCATATGCGGACATTTGGAAGAAATTTTTACTTTGTAAAAGAACAAACAAAAACCCCAAAAAACACCCACACAAAACAAACAAAAGAACAGACTTGGAACAGGCACAGTAACTTGCCCGCGTCCACACAGCTCTTAAGCCACAAGACGGGGGCTCGAATCCCTGTCTTGTGACACGGGACGTGGTGGTGCCCATTGGAGAAGGCCATTCACAGAGCTCCTCCGGGCCGGGGGTGCGCTGGACAACCTCCAATTATCTGTCTCCCAGGCCTCACCACCTCTCACGGCCACCCCTCTTCTCCATGCCCCAGGCTGCACCCTAAAACCTCCTGTCGCTCCTTCCCTCTGAGATGCTGCTCGGGGTCCCCGCTGCCCGCCCCCCTGCCCCCCGCCCAGCAAGAAGAGAGCCACTCTGCACGGAGGGCCGCTCGCAGGCGGCCGGGGGCGGAGCCTCGACCACGTGGCCGCGAGCCCGGCCGAGCCGAGCCCCGTGGCCCCGCCCCCGGCCCGCCCCCGGCCCGGGGACCGCGCTCCCCCCGCGGGCCCTGGGGGCCGCTCGCAGGTGTTCGCTGGCGCCCGGATGTCTGAGCTCTGGCTCCGCTCTGGCTCCGGCTCCCTCCGCAGCTTGCGGGCGGGGCTCCCAGCCCATCCGGAGTCTCGCGGCGCCCCCGCCGCTCTGCCAGCAGCGTGGCCTCCCGGTTCCCAGCCTCCCAGCCTGGGGGGCCCCCCACCCAGCCGAGTCGCTGACCCAACTGCTCTCCCGCTGCCCCCAGCTGCGCCCGGGCCGCTGCAGCCTCGGCGCGCCCCCACCCTGCTTCCTGCCTCGGCAGTTTGCAGCTTTGCCCAGGCCGAGCGGCGGCCCTGGCTCGCACCCCGTCCCTTCCTTCCTTCGGTCAGGCAGCTCGCATTCCTCGAGCGCCTGCGACGTGCCCCGCACACGGCCTCTCTGACCTCCTGAGTGTGGCCGAGGCCCACGGGGGTCCTGCGGGAAGCCTCTGCTCCCCATCCCGGCCTCCCTCCCTCCCCACCGCCTCGGTCTCCTCTCTCTGAGGTCCTGTTTCACTCATAGAGTTTAGGATTTAATTGCTATCTTATTATTTCTCCTGTTAAGAGTCAGTGGCTGGGCCCGGAGTGGGGTCGGGGGGTCGGTTTGAGACCAAAATCAGGGGTCAGTCTGAAAGAGTGAGGGGTCAGAGTGTGGCCAGAGTTGGGGTTCAGCCTGACGGAGGCGGGGTTCGGGGAAAGTGTGGGTAGAAGTTGGCAGCAGTCTGTGGCCGGGGTTAATGGGGTGTGAGGGTTAGTCTGAGTAGCATCAGTGGCCAAGGTTAGTGAGTCAGTCTTGGGTAGGGTCAGTGGACCGTCTGGATCAGGGTAGTAAGTCACCCTGAGACCAGGATTTGGGGGTTTCCTTGGACAACTCAGATGAGGGGGAGAGGGCGCTGGAGCACATCCCTCCATAGTCTCCCCCTACATCACCCAAGGGCTGTTGGAGCTGACCTGCCATCCGGGGACCCTCCCTCTCCCCCTCAACACTACCCTGCTCCTGCTTTGGGCCAGATTGTGGCCAAAGGGAGCCCAGACTGGCAGTAACACTGGCCATGGGAGGGAGACCTTGGGCTTTCCTGGACCCAAGCCTGGAGCCACCCATATTTAACAGTTAAGCTAGTGCCCTTCCTTTTCCCTTGTCAGTTGTTCATAAATCTAAAGTCTGTCCGGGATGGGAGGGCCCTTAGAGGTCATAAGTGTGATCAGAGAGGGGAAGGAACCTAGTCAGGGACACACAGCAAGTTAGTAGTCAAGGGAGGACTAAAACCCACGCCTCCTGGCTTCCCAGACACTCGGCCATACTCTGCCTCCCCTGAGCAGGGGTTATTCCCCCTTAGAGATGGTAGAGCGAGGCCTCACCCACAGCTCTCACAGAGGGACTGCAAGGGCTGGTGGACTGCACCTCCTCCCACCCCGACCCCTAGGATCTGGAAATGTGGAGGCAGGGAATGGGGATCCCCTAAGGCATTGTCTCCTTGTCATTGCCACCCAGCCCCCTCCCTCCCCTTCTCATTAGGAGTAAATGAAACAAGGGTGGCCAAGCATGAGTTTGGAAGCCTGGGAGGAGAGAAAACACTTTTTAAGAACTGCTGGGGAAAAGCTTAGCTGGTTTCTTATGGAAACATATGGAACTCGTTATCCTAAATCGAGGTGGTCGCTGGCCAGCTGGCGGTCGGTTCGTTTGGGGCTGAGTGTGTGTTGTGTGGCAATGAGGGTACCCAAGGCGCAGGAGACTCCCCCGATCACCCGCTCACTCGCTGACCCAGGTTCTTCCTAGTCTTGGTTTTGGTTTCAGCCTATGCCATTTCTAGTCTTAAAAAAGGGGGAGGGGGGAAGAGGGTGTTCAAGACACACTGGGATATGGGACCTATAAGTTATGCAAGGAGGAGATGAAGACTTGGGGACCATCAGGACAGACAACCACATGCCCCCCCACACCCCACATACCCTGACTCATACCAGGGGCCCTTGGCAGGTTTTGCTGTGGGTCCAAATGTGTGTAGGGCTGATCCCAGCTTCCATTGAGGATTCATC